TCAATTTTATCATGGAACCTGTATCACCCTCCATGATCTCAAACAGAATTTACTTCTATCCTAGGCTGCTTCTGTATCGATGTCTCAAAATAACTCTCGCTCTGATACCACTTGTTGCGCCTGAAGCAATAATCACAATAATACAGAAGCAATAGACAACAATCAATAATCAAATGCGCAGGAAAAATAAAGCACACCAAGATTTACGTGGAAAACCCTCCAGTGTAGAGGAAAAAACCACGGACCACCAGAAAAATCTTCACTATCAAATAATAGTTATACAAAGTTCTTCTCTAGCTAAAACTAGAGCTAATCAACAACTAGAGAAACAATTGGAGAAATCTCACCAAATAAGTGACTCAACAAATACACCATGGATTTGTTCCTAGAGAGCTTCAAACCCGATTTTCACCGTTCAGAATGTATAACTCTGAATCATAAACCTCCTGATAAAGTTTCAACTCAATCGGACCACGGATCGACTTCCGTTTAACCAACTCTCCCTTCTCCTTTTTCTCTCTCTGCTTTTCCTGGCTTTTCTTCTTTCTCTGCTTGGTTATCGACACACACCTTAAACAACCCCACCTCTTTTTTATTAAGTAGCTAGTGCTCTGTGTAAAATAAAAGATCAAGGCCCATGGCCTTTACTTGGTCCAAAACCACTTACATGGGACTGGATCCCATTTTCCTAACAATTATTATATCCAGTAACTTACTTTCTATGATATGATACTTGGATATGAATGATGTTTTGATCCTCCACTGAACATAAAAAGTTAAAGAACAAAATCTACAATCATCAAAAAGAAAAACAAAATGTAAGAACTCGCAAGAATATAAGGGAATTGGGATTTCTAAGGCAAGTGTTGTTACAAGGCCAAGCTGAGGCTCCTTGGCCATCAAAAGATCTACCTCCGGTGATTGTCAATCTATCAATGCATTTGAATGAAATTTGAACGGTCAAGGTGAAGTGAAGCTGCATCAGTAGGAGACATTACAATCCTATTGACCTGAAATGTAATGGCACCCTTGCATGGGCCTTGAAAAACAATTAGATAAACCAAGTATGTCCCTGATGGGATCAAAATCACATAATTTCCTTTATATTGGCAAGCTTGTTTCCATGTATCACTAAAGGCCTAACAAAGAAAAAAATTATGAAATGATATACATAATCGTTCTCTCTTCTGTTTTCTCACTTTGGGAGGCCAAAATTTGACTATTCAATCCTAATTCTTGTAGGCACAAAGCCAATAGTTTTGTACTCAAATGAATAACTTAGTGACCAGTGTAACCTAATATTGAACTTGAGATAATAAATCTAAATGAAATTGTTATATACTACCTTAGAATTGTTTGTTTTTCCATCACTCGGGGCACCACATTTTAGCACATTAAAAAGATTTGTAGCTATAAATTAAGAATTCTTCTTCTAGTTATTGTTTCCTCTTCCACTTTGAAATACCATGGATTAAAACTAGGTTTCCTCTGCTTTGATAGCACATTTCATGAAAATACAAATAGACTAATAATTAAAACAGGTCGCTGCTTTTTTTGGGGATTAAGAAATGGAGCCTAAATGCAAAACTTTTGTTATTAGATGAAAGGTTTAAACAAAATTAGAGAGCTTGTCATTAAAAGAGAAACGGACAATCCAGGTAAGTGCTATTTAAAAAGGTGAACTATTTTCAAGCTATATAACTTAATCATGTTTGAGGTTGAAATGCATATTGAATATTAATGAATTTCACGCTATTATTAGTTTGCATTTAATTATTTTAAGTAATTACAAACATAACATATTAATATCCCATGTTTAAACTCAGAAAATCAAGGCCATATACATAATCATATATCAATGAACAATCCACACACCAATCTTAAAGAAACCTTAGATGGGATGGAAGAAAATCAAATTTGGACATCTAATCATTAGTATTTAAGATATAAAAGACAAACTTAAAATGAGATAGATTTAAATTAAATGTTACCTGTAGTCAGAAAATGCAGGACATTGATTACCAGGAAGAAGATACTATCAAACAGAGTAAATTTAATAAAAAATACATTCATAAGTTTAAAATCTTATAATTGAATATACACAGAAATAAAAACAGGAAAATGGGACTAAAACACATAAGAACATTCAATTTAATGAACATGAAAAATAGAAAAATATACAAAAATTAAAATAGAAACTTTGCTAAATGCATGCATAATAATGGCGAGATGTAGCCATCTAGGAGTACCACTTTTTTTTTTTTATTTAACTTTGCTAAAAGTAGAAGTAAAGCTAAATACATAGCTTAAAATTTGTTATCTTACGAAATCTTCATAGCTATGATGAAGTCCAAAATGATATTCCTGATCTTTCATTTCAAAATTTCAAAACCTTATCTTTTTACTCTAATTGAAATTAAATGGGATGGACCCCAAATGTAGCAAATCAATTAATGACGAATGACAATTAGACATTATTCAGGAAAAATCTCCAGCACTTTAGTTTTCAAGTTTGTCACAATCCAGAAGAGTAGCAATCTAATAACAGAATACATCCATAAAGGAAAATCTGACTAAAATCCCAATTTTAAATATATACAGAAATAAAAATCTAGCTCCTATTACCCTTAGTCTTTATTTTTAAGTTATCCTCATACTTGGAATATGAAAACAATTAGCAATTCTTAGGCTTTCCGTTCCAGGAGCCCTTTGGGCAACTTCATTGCAGAAATTCCAAGTGTCAAATGCTCATCTCTTCTCATTCCCAGATTATACATTGGTCAGAGTTCTTGTTTGCCTTTTTTTGTCTTCCCTGTTCTACCACTAACTATCAAATATCAGATGCATAAATAAATTCACAAAATCTATGAATTTTAAAGTTAATTAATTTTATCTTAATAAAAGAAAATTCTTATTCTAGAAAAAAAATCAAAATCAAGGGAAAAAAACTTCAACATAAGCAAATATTAATTCAAAGAACAAATATCCTACCAGTCATTTTTTTAAACTTTTTTAATTCTTTCTCTCCTATCCATGCCGTTCGAAAAAACTTTATTTCGCTCCTTCCTGGCCATAAGCTGACCAGCTTCAATCTTCTCTCTTCCTACAACATGCCTCCCTCACTCTATCCGTCTTTTTCTTTGGAATGCAGTCCCAAAAAATGGTTAGTAAAATGATGATGGTTTTGGTGGATGTGTTTGAAACATTACATATTTACGTAAATCTGTCAGATACATATGAGGAGAAGAAAAAGAAAGAAAAAGAAATCGGCGTAGGTAAATTTGTGATGGGCATCGGAGAGAAGAAAAACTGAAAAAGAGAAGATAAAAAAAAAAGAGCTTAAGGAGAGAGTGTCACGCGGATAGGCTGAGGGGTGGTCAACAGAAAGTCAAAGTTAGTAACTTTAATAGTATCGATTGTCGTGGCTTACAAGTAGAGGTGGTAAAATGAAATCGAACCCAAAAATCTCCATGCAAAGCCTGAACCTGAACTCGTTCGAACCTGATTTAACAAAAAAGTCAAAAGCCCAAACCCAAAAGAGCACAAATTCAAAATGATTTGAAGCTAAAAAAATTCGAACCCGAACTCGAAAAATATGCTCAAACGATAATATCTTTTATAAAATCTAAAAAATGACCTGATTAGCTGAAAACTGAACCTAGCACAAATTGCCACCTCTACTTAGAAGTAGGATTGCCATATAACCTAGGTGCTTGCTGAAGCTGGTTTCCAGGCGATGTCCTTTATAGACACATAAGCCTGTGGAAAACTAGGCCATTTATTTGAATTGTTTGTTAATGTTTTTGTTTTGTTTGAACATTTTTAGTAAATGTTCAACATTAATCGATGTTATGGATGGGTGAACTAGTTATTAAGAGTATTGGATTGCGTTTTGCAGGTATAAATTCAGCATGAGACTATCTGTACAAGTTGATTGGCTAGATTTCTGTTTTGCTCTATGGAGATTCTTGTAAGTCAGAAGAGGTGGCTGCCATTAGTTTGATTTTGAACTTAATGAAGAGGGAGAATGAATTTATTGAATCTTAGTTGCCAGAATCAGCTTTGTTTACTATTGTAATTAAAATTTTCATACTTCCGCTAATTTTTAGCTTTGGGGGAGCTTCAATTTTACATGATTTTAACTCCCCACATTTGCAGAGGTAAAAGCTTATTATGCAGTGTTGATGGTTTTTGAGAGATGGGCAAATATTTGTTATGTCAGAAATGCAGCTATTTGTTCACTCATGCTATCCTATGTTATTCTTCTTAAGCACTTTGTGGTGCTACAATTAACTTTGTTAGTGTGTTCTTGATCAATCTTTATTTCCCCCTTCCGCAAAGATGCGTCCCATCCGAATTTGGTTAGTCTGACTTATACTTGAGCCAGGTTCTCTCCCTTTCTTTGCTTTTCTGAGTTCCTCATAAATTAAGGTTATTATAAGTGAATAATTAAAAAAAAAAAAAAAAAAACTTCCTCCTATCATTGCCTGGATAACAAAAGGATGAATCTATCATTTTATTTTTCAAAATTATTTTAAAATAATATTATTTAATTATTTTTTTAACATGTTAGAATTGCATATTCAGAAGTTTAAAAATTTTATATAATATTTTTTCTTAATTGATATAATTTAAATGTAATTTTTTTAATTTATTAGATATAAAAATTTGATAAGTTATATAATTTATTGAAAATCCATATTCATAAGTTTTAAAATTAAAATAAAAAGATAATTAAATAATTTTATCTAAAAGAAATTTTGAAAAAAAAATATGATGTAAAGATAAAAGGAACATCTCACTTAAAATGGTTGTAACATAATTAATCATTTATAATTTAGAATTATGTGAAAATTATTAAAATTTTGTATGAAATTCATGTTTATAAATAATAAATTTCTATATTATTTTTTATTATGATTAAATAATTATAATATTTATAATAAAAACATTATAAGTAAAATGTTACGGAAAAAAAAAAAAGTAAAGTTTGTGTTTAGAACCCGTCGTAACAACACCAAAGTTTTCCATTTTGGTGAGAAAAAAATTGTATTAGGACCTGGGGGAATCCATCCTGATCCAACGATTCAGCGGGATTCGATCCGTTATTCGGTTAAAAAAACTTCCATTTTGGTGAGAAAAAAGTTGAACTGGGACCTGGGGGTAATCCGTCCTGATCCAACCATACAGTGCGATTCGATCCATTATTCGGTTTTTTTTTTAAAAAAAAAACAGTGTGAATGCACCAGCTTATAATCAGAGTCGACATGAACCTTCACTGACGCCACGTTTTCCAACCGCGGTCCCCATCTCAAACGCTCTCGCATTAATTTCTCTATTGAAGCACCCATCCAAATCTTCTTCTAAGTAAAAAAGCAGCTTCTTCCGGTTCTTTAAGGACCAAAAAACAAAAACACCAGAAAAGAATTGGTGAGGAAGTGTAGTGGGACTGAAGACTAAAATAAAAAAAAAAAAAAATGCATAAGCCTCTGCTGTTCGGAGAAAGCAGTTGCGCCGGTGGAAGCAGAGATCGGTTTTATCGTCGCTCTGAAGCTATTACCTACGGCTCTCCTTACCAGAGAGCAGCTGCCCTCGTCGATCTGGTCACCTTCATTTTATCTTTTCTCCTGGTTTATATTATTACCTTTGTTATATGCTGTTTGGAAAATTCCGTTTATTTATGACATTATTTCGTTTCTACAAGTCTTCTTTTTTTTTTTTTTGTCAATAATTTTGTTTTAAAATGATGTTAAAATCCATTTAATATTTGAATTATCCTTTGTTCAAAGGTAATTATTTATTTATTTTTTATGTTTTATGCGGTAAGGATGTAATTTTCAGGATAATTTCTTTGAATTACTATCTATAATTTCTAGCATACAGATGTTCCGATCATATCTGAACATTATTAATAATAGTTTCAGATGTAATTTGATATTTTAAGATTTCCTTTTTAGTTTGTGATCAAATGCTACAATACAAGAGGTATCATCACTTATTGAAAATTGGCATTTTAATTTAGTATTTAAAGTCATTGAAAATGAGTTTTTTTTGTTATAATATGATAGGATTTTAATAGTTTGTGCTATTACCTGTGCATTTCTCTCATTGCATTATTTCAACTTTCAATAAATAACGTACCTACTCTTAACATTACAATTGGTAACAAAATTCTTTATTTATCCTTTCATAAAAAAGAATGAAAAAAAAAAAAAGAAAGAGAGTACTTATTTGGTTGGAGTGATTTTGTAGGCCGAGGATGGTGTTGGTCTACCTGAGCAAATTCTTGATAAAGCTAGCTTTGGAAGTGCGGCAAAGGCCTACTTCATCTTTATTAAATTTGATCCCATTTGGACCCTTAATTACTTTGCACTGATTGTCCTAAATTTTTTTGAGGTTAGCATAACCTTCTGTTTTGTTGCTATTATTTAAATTTCAATACTGCCTTTCAACAAATCAGGATGGAAAAATAAACATGAAAGGCAAAAAGAAAAGTTGTAGATATTCTATGAAGATGATTTTCTAATTCTGAATTTGGTTGACTCATTGCAGAAGCCTTTGTGGTGTTTAAGGAGTAGTTCACACTCTTGCAGTGATAGGGAGTACTTTTTTCTTGGGCAGTTGCCTTACTTGACTGCTACAGAGTCTCTTATTTATGAGGTATGGTAATATAGGTAGATATATCGTTTATAAAATTCTCCAGTTTATTAGAAGGAAAACAAAGTGGCTGCTATGCTTGTGCTACCATATCCACTGTATCACTCAGCATTATTATATTGCCTAACACAGATATCATGTACCAAACAGAAAAAATAGAGAAAGCAGTAATGAAATTACTGAGTTTTGACTGTATGGTTTTAACTAAGTACATGTTAATTTGTTTTTCTTGGGTATATATTTATATAAATGCATTTTCTTTGCTGGCTTTGGTTATGTGCAACATAAGTAGACTTGAGTTTCTTTTAGCATTACTAGAGGGCAGAAACTGAGGGGTATTGTAAGAGCATGTGCCTTCTGGGGGAATATTTAAGTCACCGCATAGCTATATACTATTTGGTGAAAAAAAAAGTAGTGACTTTTGGGACTTATCAAGTCTGCTCTTTGATATTAAACTTCACAAACTAATCTTATTACCCTTTGATTTCTGCCTTCTTATGTAGGTTGTAACTCTCATTGTCCTCATGATACATGCTTTTTTCCCAATTTCCTATGAAGGGTCCTGTATCTATTGGAAACGTCCTGTTAATCAGTTAAAGGTACTTACATGATTTTCCTTTTCGGATAATTGCATAAGTCTCTCTCTCTCTCTCTCTCTCTCGTATAATGAAGGTACTTCATTTGGATAAAAACGAAAATTCTTTTATGGACAAATTTCTTGAATGTAAGATTAAACTATATGACTATGACTCTTCAATTTACATTATGTATCCAGTTAGACCTGTTTTGGACACCTCTGACTTGGTTATTTAGTTATAATACTCCAAATAGTGTTAGACATGGGTAGTCTGACAACATAGCCTAAATTGATAATATTGTTTATGCTCTGTTGAACTTGGTCACCTATTACCATTTGCAATCGGAGTTTATATGTTAGTGGCCTTTCAAGCTATATGGACTTTGAATATAATTTATTGCTTCAACTAAATAATGCAGTTAAATCTAATTGTTTCAATAAAAAATTGTGCTCTTCTATTCTTTATCACTATAATGTAAAAAATTTGCAAGTAACTGCTTCCTATGGATGTTGTTAGTCACTGATCATTGCTTGATGATTTAATATTGGCTTATGCCTGGTTTGTTTTGACTTTTTTATTATTGTCTTTCAAAGGGACTAAAGCTGTATCTTTTGTTTTTGGAATTTTGTGAATAGAATTTACTATGTTGATTTCCCTTTAATACGAGTCTCCTAGTTCTCTTCAGGATTTAATATTAGTTTGCTCTACTGCTTTTCTTATTATTAGCCTAACAATGCATGTTTTGGTTCAACTTCCAGGTCTTTTGCCTCTTAATTTTGGTTGCAGATTTACTGGTTTATTCTCTCTATTTGTCTCCAGTGGCCTTGAATTCTCTTCCCTTGAGGGTTGCTCCTTATGTCAGAATTATTATTTTGATCCTAAACATTAGGTACCGAGTGACAAAATTCATACTTTCTGTTTCTACAAAATCCTTTTGTAAATGTATATGGATGTATTGTATATGCCTTACAGGCATCTATTTGTTCATGTGCATGTCCATAATTGACCTTAAGTCTGCTGAATGTATTCATGTGTCTTTGCAGATGTATGCTGTGAATCTATGCATCAGAAAACATAACTTGGAACAACAAATTTCTCTTTCCAAACATTTTTTCCATAATTATCTCCATCACTTCATCTGATCAGAGTATCATATGGATCTACAAGAATATCATAGAAAGTTTGATTATAATTTTAAATGGTGAATTCTGGGAATCTATGGTGCCTTTGTGCTGCTCCGGTTCGCACAAAGAAAAATGGCATGCTAGTTTTAGATGAGTTATTGATCTTAATATCAATATTTAATCTGGAGTAAGAATGTTTTTACACATCCCCTACTGCTCAGTGCTGCCATGAGAGAGTTTGGCTTGTACTTACGTAGAATCAGATTTACTTTCATTTTAGAAACTTGAAAGGGACTGAAATCACCTACTTCTTTTAAGCTAACTTCATTGGTTTGTGAGGAGGTCATGGATGGGCCTTGTTTCCTTATTAATCCTTTTCCAGGAACAGAGGACAAAGAAGAAAATGTCTCCTTTTTGGCTGATGGCACTCTTTACTTGAAAATTATTTTGGTTCTATGCATCATGTACGTAGATGTTTCTCTCTAGTATAATTTTGCGTTATTGGGTCAACAGGACACATTCGAAAGACGGGAATTTTTTGAAGTCCTTTTAATTTCCACTATTTTGGTGCATAAGGTGAAAATAAAGTGGCAGGGAGAAAAATACGTTCTTTTTCCCTCTTATATGCATCTCTGCCCCATTTTCTCCTCAAGAAAGCAAACCAGAAAAAAAAGGTTTAACAAATTTGTCTAGGTTGATTTTAAGTGAATATAATCAGCTTGGGGTGGCATAAATTGGTCATTTGTTGATTGTTATGCCCGTAATTGAACTTAATTCATCAGTTTTTTCAGAGTTTCTTATCTTTTGGACATATGGAGTGACCGATCAAACTTTTGTCTATAAATCTTGATTGAAAATCACCTTTTTGTTGTAAAGTTTACAAATATTACAACCATTGTTGAATATCCATGTTTGAAGGAAGCTGTGTTTTTTGCTCTCAATAATTTCAGCTTTTATTCAGTTAATGTTATTTTTTACTTTGTTTTGTCTTAGGGAATTACGAGCTAGCATCCTCATTTTGGCTGGAATGATTGGAACTTACTTGAATGTCTTGGTTTGTATACTCTCTTAGCACCAAAACAGTTTACATGCCTGCTGTAGTGTAGTTTTAAAGTATTTGCCTTCTGATCTGGTTCAAGTTATTGTTCATAAGTATATATTTCTTATGTTTTTCCTAGCACAGACTTAATTGCTGTCTCATATACTTCTATTGCAGGCTCTGTGGCTGTTATTTCTTCTGTTAGCTAGTTGGGTAGCATATGTTATGTTTGAAGATACACAAGAGGGTAAATTGGTATTTACATCATATGGTACCACGTTGTATCAGATGTTTGTTTTATTCACCACATCCAACAACCCAGATGTATGGATTCCTGCCTACAAGTAAGTGTGGAGTTGTGGTGATTTGGTTCAATGGTTGTAAATTTACTGTACCATTAAGCTAAACTTGATTGGAGGTTTTTTCTTTAATGTAAAGAGAAAAATTGGTTGGATGGTGGTTTTTTTACGCCATAGAAACAAAGATTACATGTTTGAACATTTCATAAAATTTTCTCTTTATCTCTTTTTTAAGTGCCAGCTTGTTCCACTCTTTTGTTTTATTGTGTATGAAATGTTAGTTTGCTTGCTGTAGATATTTACTTTGGTCAAAATATAATTTTATCGTTACTTTATGTATTGAGAAATAATTTTATATTTTTGTTAGCCTAACTTTAGTAATATATATTATTCATATAATTGATGTGGGCTTAACTCTAGGATGTGTGGCAAGGATTCTAAAGTTAAACCCAATAACTTGAGATGTTGATTTGGTGGGCTAAAAGTTTGGCTAGTTAAGAAAAGAGGATATTCTTAACCATTCCTAGAGAGCCGGTACTTTCCATGTGACATCGTTGGCACTGTCACATCCTTATTAAATCATAGGATTGCTATACCATTATAAATAGCTAACCATTCGCACTAAGAGAGGACTTTTGGTTTTTGGAGTTTTGGTGATCTGGGAGCAATTGTTCATCTTATAGCTTCTCTTTCTGGATTTCCTTTCTCTAGCCTTGCTTTACACCTTTCTTTCAAGTATGCAGCTCTTGTGTACCCTTTCCTCACACACCAAGTAAGCTTTGCCCTATCAACCTCTACCCAAACCTTGCCCTAACCTATTAATCTTTCTATCACCTGCCACTAGTACCAAGGCTCTATTGGACTGCCCATTCTTCCTCTCTTTTCCTTTATTCTTTAACTCATCTCATTATTGCAATGTTACACTACCTCACCTACCTACCCTTATAAAAGAACCTTTTACACTCACTTACGTGTTTTTTTTTTTTGTAATGATCCTTTTATGCCATGTCATATCATTTTTCTTTTGGTGGTGCTTATGGTAGACTCAATTGGTCTAATTTCTTAGCTTATTTATCCATTTTTTGAATGATAATTCCTTTGGTTTTTTATATCTTTCAATCTTTTGACTACAGGGCTTCACGTTGGTATTGCCTTTTTTTTGTTCTCTATGTCCTAATTGGGGTTTACTTTGTCACAAATTTGATCCTTGCTGTTGTATATGACAGCTTCAAAAGTGAGGTATGTTGTGAATTCATCTTTAGTTTTGCTCAAGGTTTTAAATAACGATTGAATAGTAGTGTAGTGGCCGCTATTTCGCGATAGCGCCACCGTCTGCAAGCGCTATCTAGGGAAAAGTGGGTGTGAATTTCAAACATGTCCAAAACCGTGCATAGCGGCCGCTAGTAAAGTGTAATGGGGAATAGCAGAAATAACGGTCCGTTATTGCTGTTATTCCCTGTTATCCATCCAAAATTTTGATATTTAAAAAAAATCAATTGAATAAAAGATGCATGCAAATAGACAATCAAATGCAAACAGCCAAATGATTAATTTTAAAGTAAGTTAATATTACCTTTTTTGTTGAAAGTTGCTGCAAATTTGTGTTGAGTGGGGTTAAAAAAAATTCTCTGTTTGAGTTTGGGTCTTTGGGAAATTGTGACTATATGAGACTCAAGATTGAGTATGGGAGTTTTGGAGTTGAGTGAGAGAGACAAAAAGCCTTGATTGAAGGAATCGGTGGAGGAGCCAGGAGGCAGAGTCTTGTGTGTGGTGTGTCGACTGTCGAGATTTACTGATGTAGGGTTATTTGGATTTGGGTTTTTGGGAAATAGGGAATAGGGATTGTGGAAGTTGGAGACTGGCAGTTAAGTAAGGTTGAGAGAGAGAGAGATGACCAGTAGAGAAGTGAGAAGGAGAGTGAGATGAGAAAGAGTGGAAGTTGGAAAGGGAAGAGTGAAGAACAGTGAAGAGGGAAGACTGTGTTTAATTCAAAGTAAGACAAGGTAGGGAGATGGGAAGAGTTGAGGGGTGTGGGAATTTTTTATTAAATTGTTGTAAATAACTTGTTGTCTGTTTTGCATTTTTTTTTTCAATTTAGTGTTTAATTTTACTAACAAGGGAAATTTGAGAAATTATAGTTCTTGAGAATTTTTTTTAGAGGGAAATCAAATGAGCAGGATTGACAGAAGTCTAAAATTGAAAAAAATTTAGGAATTAATATGATATAATAAAGAGATTTTAGATAAAAAAAATTAGCAAATTTATTGTATAAGTTAGGTTAAAAAATAATTAAAATTGAACGATATATTGATTTTATTATTTATTAATTTATAAATCGTATTTGAAATTTAGTAATGGTTTTTTTATTGTTTTGGTATTTGTATTGTTATCAAGTTTTTTGCTATAATTGTGGAAAAACTAAAAAATAAAATTGTGTGGAAAACTAAGAATAAAACTGAATGTATATTGAAAAATTGCTCATTAAGAATTATATAAGCACCTTAGATTTATATACAACTAACTAGTAGGTAAACTAGGAAACTAAATCTTCCTAAAATTGATTCTATAATTGAGGGATTGTCTATCCTAATTTTCTATCCTTAATTCTAGAGATACAAATATAAATATGTAGATTATAAGATTACAACCAACTGTAAATAAGTGTTTTCCCACACTCCCCCTTAAGCTGGTGAATAGGTGTTTTCCATTCCCATCTTGGAAATAATTTCCTGAAATGTTGCACTTCTAAGACCTTTAGTCAACACATCTGCAAGTTGACCCTTGGTTGATACATATGGTGTACAAATCAACCCACTGTCTAGTTTCTCCTTTTATGAAGTGCCAATCTACTTTAGTGTGTTTTGTTCTATCATGTTACACAAGATTGTGTGCAATGCATATTGCAGACTTGTTATATCAGTAGAGTCTCATTGGTCCATCCCACTTGATCTTCAAGTCTTCTAGGATAATCTTTAACCATAGTAGTTCATAAATTCCTTGAGCTATATTGCTTTGAACTCTGCTTTAGCATTTGATCTTGTCATCACTTTCTGTTTTTTACTCCTTCAAGTCACAAGATTACGACCTAAGAAAGTGCAGTAACCTGAGGTGGATCTTCTATTAGTTATTGAACCTACATAATCCACATCTGTATATGCCTCTAGAAACAACCCCAAATTTCTTTTGAACAAGATACCTCTCCCAGGATTGACCTTCAAATAGTGTAATACATAGTAGCCAGCGTATAGGTGCACTTCTTTAAGACTATGTATTAATTGACTTATCACACTCACAACATATGCTATATCAAGTCTAGTAATGGAGAGATAAATGAGTGTTCGAACTAATCTTTGGTACATCTTTCTATGTACAGCATCATCTTCATTAGTTTTTCTAAGTTTATGATTAGGATCTATAGGGGTATTTGCAAGTTTACATTGAGCTTCCCAGTTTCCTTCAAAAGATCCATCATATATTTTTGTTGTTAGATGAAAATACCATATCGTGAGTGAGCTACTTCAATTCCTAGGAAGTATTTCAATCTCCCTAGCTCTTTTATCTCAAATTTTCTAGCCAAACACTGTTTTAGAGATTTTTTTTCTTTTTCATCATCTCTGGTTACTCTTATGTCATCAATATACTCTAATAGAATTGTGACTCTCCTTGAATCTGAGTGCTTGATAAGTAATATGTGATCTCCTTGACTTTGCTTATATCCCATTGCTAGCATTATTTTTGCAAATCTCTCGAATTAAGCCCTAGGAGATTGTTTAAATCTCTCGAATTAAGCCCTAGGAGATTGTTTAAATCTCTCGAATTAAGCCCTAGGAGATTGATTAAGGCCATATGAAGCCTTTTTCAGCTTGCATACTTTGTTTGCTTCTAAATGACCTCCATATTTTGGTGGAACCTTCATATATATTTCTTCTTCCAAATCACCATGTAGAAAAATATTCTTTACATCAAATTATTAAAGCTGCCAATTATAATTTGCAGCCAAGGATAACAAAATGCTAACTATATTCATCCTGGCAACTGGAGCAAAAGTTTCCTAATAATCCACTCCATAAGTTTGAGTGTAGGCCTTAGCCACCAACTTGGCCTTATACCTTTCAACAGTACCATCCGCCTTGTATTTTACAATGAAAACCCATTACACCTAACTAGATTTTTTCCTTTAGGCAACTCTATTAGTTCCTATGTCTTATTTTTCTCTAAAGCTCCATTTCTATTTTCATAGCTTACCTTCATTTCTCACTAGATAATGCCTCGGATAATGCAGTTGGAATAGAAATAGTGTTTAGGCTCACAAGGAAATTTTTGTGGGATAGTGAGAATTTTTTAAATGATAGAAAATTAGAGATTGAGCATAGTAGATGCTTAGTACATTCTTTGATTCCTTTCCTAATGGCAATAGGCAGATCATAATCACTAGTTATAGTTTTTGGAGATTCATGCTCGTTTTGAGAAATAGAGTCAGAAACTATAGTTACCTCATTTCCGAAGTTAAGATCAGGTTCTTAGACTTGCACCGATTCTGGGTCTAGAACTTTCCTTCTTGATTACACCCATAATTCCTTCACAGAATCAAGAACAATATCATCTTTTGCCACATCTTCTGTGTTTGGAATGTGTTCAGACTCAAATTCAATGTTTGATTTCAACTCAGAAGAAACAGGGGTAGACTTAGAAGAATTAATGGGTGAAAATGTTAAAGAGAAGGATAAGTCAAGCAAAAAGAAGTCTTTATCCTTATCTTCCATGAATTAAATCTCCCATTGAAGATCGGGTTGAGTAAAAAATGGTTTACTTTCTTCAAAATTGAAATCTACAGACACAAAATTTTTTAGAGGGAGATGATAGAACTTATACCCTTTTTGAGTTGATGAATACCCCCCAAAAATGCACTTAATTGTTCTAGGATCCAACTTCCCCCTATTATGACTGTGAACATGAAGAAATGATGTAAAACCAAATATCTTAGGTGTGAGGTTGTTTGTGATATTAAAGTTAGGATAGAATTGTGAGAATAGTTCCATAGGAGTTTTAAATCCCAAAACTGTTAAATGTAACCAATTTATAATGTGTGGTAGTGAGAATAGCTTCCCCTTAGTAGGATTTGGTATGTTTGCTTGAAAAAGTAAAGCTTAGGTTGTGGCTAGCAAATGGCTATTTTTCCTCTTTGCCACTCCATTCCGCTATGGAGTATTAATACAAAATGACTAATGGATAATCCCTTCCTTTTGGAAATAGGTTGATAGACTTTGGTTGAAATAATCTCTTGCGTTATCAGACCTAAATCTCTTGATTTTCACTCCAAATTGATTTTGAATCATGTTTTGGAAGCTTAAAAACACACTATTTACATCTGATTTGGATTTAAGTAAAAATATCCAAAAGACCTTGGTACAATCATCTATGAAAGAAAAAAAACACCTTGCACCAAAAATATTAGGAATTGTAAAGGGACCTCACTATGAATCAAGCAAAAAAGAGTAGAACTTTTTTTATTGCTAACTGGAAAAAACACATGTCTATGCTTTGCAAGTTCACAAACATCACAATGAAAATTTTTGGCATTTAATCCTTTGAACAAAGAAGGAAACATGTTTTTCAAAGTTCCAAAAGAAGGATGCCCAAGAGGAAAATGATAATGCCAAAGTTTGTCTTTATTAGGAGATTTTTCAAAAAGAAATGGCAAAGGTAAACCAATCTTGATATTATTTGTGTTGTTTGATGTCTCAAGATAGTATAGTCCATCTTTCTCCTTAGCGAATCCAATTCTTTTTCCCGAACTTTGGTCCTAAAATTCACAATAAGAGGGATAAAAAGTCACTTTGCAGTCCATGTCTCTAGTAAGTTTTTGTATAGATATCAGATTAGTACACAATCCAAGAACATGAAAAACATTTTAAAGAACAAACAAGGGATTAATTTGAACATCTTCTAATCCTGCTACTATAGTAAGTGAACCATCTACAACAACAAATTTCTTATTACTAGGACATAGGGTTTATGTACTAAACTTCTGTGAGAAATGTGTCATAGGGTTTGTGGCTTCTAAGTCAATGACCCAAGAACTCGTAATAGGCTTAACTAAGACATTTAATCCATGAGAACCAGAAGCTTTACCTGAACTAGAGCCCTTACCAAAAGATCATACCCCAATAGGCTTTTAAAGGGTTTTCAGTAGGTTTCTTGGTTTTTCAATCTCTTCTTTGTCTAACTCTCTCTGTTCTTGAGACTTCTGTATTACTCCGATAGTTTTACCAATTGTCACTACCTTAAATCGAATAGTAGTGCTGTGACAGATTCTGCTATCTTTGGTGTGGTTATCTTTCTCAGGATTGAAACGAGTTTTGATAGGAAATGTTTAACCAGAGACGATTCTAAGCAATGAAGGCCAAAGAAGGAAAAAATAAGACTGAAAGATTTAACAAGATTTGGCCATGAAGGCCTGAAGTAGAATTTAGCAATGAAGGTTGAAAGAATTTTCTTTCCAATAAAAGACTAAAACTCTAATACCATGTGAAAAAACTAAAAAATAAACTGTGTGAAAAACTAAAAGTAAAACTGAATGTATATAGAAAAATTGCTCATTAAGGATTATACAAGCGCTTTAGGTTTATATACAACTATCTAGTGTGTAAACTAGGAAACTAAATATTTCTAAAACTGATCCTATAATTAAGGGATTGTTTATCTTAATTTTCTGTCATTAATTCTAGGGATGCAAATACTTAATTCTAGAGATACAAATATAAATATACAGATTATAAGATTACAACCAGTTGTAAATAAGTGTTTTCCTGCAATCACATTAATTCTTATTAAGTTATTATTATTTTTGTGTAATTAAATAACAATTGAAGATGTCATTCATTATAATTAAAAGACTAAAGTATGGATTTATTGCTAAACCAATATGAATACCATATTGTAATCTTAAAAAAATTATGAATAATTTTTTCTCAAATAAATAAAATACATGAGATGTCATAAAACTATTTTAAAAGTCATAAAATAAGAGTTTTATGATTATAATTATAATTATTATATTTTATTGCAAATTATGCAAAATAAAAAAATTCACGATCGTGATTACTACAATGACCATGATAGTCTCCGTTATATTCGCAATTGTGATAAACGCAACACAATAAAAAATGCAATTGCGGTTGTAATTTAAATCCCTGGTTTTTCTGTGATAACTATGAAGGCTAGAGAAAGACGCAACTTAATTTGTGGCATTTCTTTTTTTTGTTTTTTTGTTGCTAATGCATAATTAGTTATTATTGGAATCTTTCTTGCAATGGCTGCTAGTTCAAAAAGAAAAAAAAAAAAGATTAAACATAAATGCTTAAATCTCCTTTTTCTTGTAGCTTGCAAAACAAGTCTTTGAGATGGATCGAATGAGGAGAAATATATTGTGTAAAGCCTTTGATCTCATTGATGATTATGTAAGTTCATTATTCACTTGTTGGTCAAGTATCTTTTTGACATGCTAAACTGCTCTGTGTTTGAATGCTGCTATCTTTGTAAACAAGATATGGTTGCTAGAAATCTTTGTATGTGTAAAATCATGCCAAACTTCATGTCTGTGTTAGTCATTGCTCACATTGTGACCCGGATGTGGAGAGTTTTGAAAAGTGAAGTATGTAGCATTCCTTAAGTTTGATCTTTATTAAAAGTCCTTTAATAATATATGGTTATATGTAGATGCCTAGGTGGTAAGTAGTAAAGAGGAAAGGAGTAGCTGAAAGAGTAACATGAGTAAAAAAGTAAGGCAGATTTGCATGATATTATCTAAACATCTCTGCAGAAAGAGAATAGATGGATAAAGTAAGACAAGAAGGGATAGGATGGGGACACTCCTAATGACAGAGCATATCAAAGATACAAAATAGATTCCTACCATCAAGACATCATTTCTCTTCTAGTTGATTCTATCATGGTTTCAGATTTTTTAATTATTTATGAAAAGTTGATAGAGAGAGCTTTTATGTTCTTTGGTGGTTGGATTATTTTGTTTCATGTTTATATCCGGGTAGAGAATTTACAGTGGAAAACACTTTTGTCCCAAATATATGTCAGACTTGATATAGAAATAATCTATTGGTTCAACCTTAAATATTTTATTTATGAATATGTTGACCTACCCATAAATTGGAAGATCGCATCCTTGGATTTATCCAATAACTTTTGTCACATTAGGTGTATAAAAAGTTGGGGTAAAAGTGTTTGACAAGTAGCATTAGTCCTTCACAAGACAATGTCATTCTTCTTTTTAAGGTATTTGTCATGGTTTAATTATTATTATTATTATTATTATTATTATGCAGTTCTAGTCACCTTTAATTTTGCATGTTTGACTATCATAATGATTTTGTAAAATTTCATTGCTACTATATAGTTGCTTCTTCATATAAAATGGTATTGCCATGTTGTAATGGTTTAACTGGATTGATGTAGCCAACCCTCATCGCAGGAAAAGGCTTAGCATGTGGTGATTGCTTGGTTTTAAGTTTTTCTGAATGTTATGTAAAGGTTCCTTTTCTATATGCAGAATGTTGGGTTCCTCAACAAGGAGCAATGCATTCATCTTTTTGAAGAACTGAATAAGTACAGGTAGTAGTTATGTCACCATCTTCAATGTGTTTCAAGAAGAAAATGCCTTCTTATCTATTGCATTAATACATATATTTGCTCCGTTCCAGTAGGATATTTAGAGGTGGAAATCATGTAGGTTTGGTTGGGTTCAAGTCATTTCTGGTTTTGACTTCTTGGGGTTGAAAAGAAAATGAATTATGTTCCAAAAGAATGAAGAAAAGATGCAGGAAATTATAACTTTTCAAATAGTTGACATTGCTAAATGACAGGTAGGATCAAAGCATTCTGAGTAAGATGGAATTAAATCTCCTATTTGATGGTCAACTATTACCTAGTTTTCTCTTTGGGTCTTTTATCTTATAATTTTAAGTATTTGGAGCAATTAGTGAAAGAAAAAATCATAAGATGCAGTTAATTCACAGGGATGTAGTTCTTATGTCTTGAGTTGGTCAGAAGTAGCTTACTGTATCAAGGTTCCTGTATTTTATTGACTTTTCAACCACTTCTATTTTGGTTGTTTTGTTGATTTATGCGTGCTAAAGTATGCTTCAATTTATCTTATTTAGGACTTTGCCAAAAATATCAAGGGAAGAATTTGAGTTAATATTTGATGAGCTGGATGATAGTCATGACTTCAAGGTATGCTTATTCACCATTTTGGGTTGATTTAAGTTCCGGTGACCTTTTTTTCCTTTTGGTGTATGGGTCAGTATATGCAGTTAACTTCAACTTCACACAAGAAGAGATTGTACTTACTGAGATCATCTACTAACATAATCAAAATTTGCTGCTGACTGATATGTGAGGTTTTTTAATTTGAGAAAATGGAATGGCTGGTTATAGTTTTTCTGTCATTGAAAGAGCAGAGCTTGTATGTTCCATTTTTTGCAGGATAACCTTGTAGAGAAGCCAGGAAGTTTGTATCTGTAACCATTCATAAAATTTTATTTATTAAGAAGAAATGAATAGTTTTTCCTTAAAAAAAAATAAAAAGAGTCTTGCCTAAGTCATATAAAACAGGTAGTAAGAATGCGAGGGAAGCAGATGCCCGAGTAAGATCCCCTCTAGATTTGGTGCCATGCTTTTTTGTTGGCCAGAAGCCAACTTCAGTTGTTAACTCAGAGCAGGAATGCTATCAGGATGTACATCCAGTTGTCTAAGTCTATGAGCTGAGAGGCTTGATGGTGACAAGCTGGGATCTTCTGCAATTATGTCTCTAGTTTGTGGGACAGAATCTGTACAGATGTTGGGGGGGAGGGTGAAAATACAATTCTTTTACTCACGTGGGTTCATTAAAAAATGCCTGTGAAACCTTTTGTATAGGCAGAGAGAATAATATCTTAGGATGCGAACATGGGTACAACCACTTATGTTTAGTGAAGATGGTTCATTGGGAATGGAAAAAGCATGCGATATGGTTGATGGCCAATAAAGATAGGTTCTAGATAAGTGCACTCATTAACATCTGCCACCTTCCAGAGGCCATGCTTTTTCAAATCTTCATAAGAATTTAGTTCTAGATAGGATTCGTAAACTAAAGCAGCTTCTTGAAGCCAAGGAAAATGCAAGTTATTTGGGGCACTGAAGGAGCTTGAAGGACCATGGCTGTAATCTTGAATTATTGTTGTTTACAAAGTGGCTCTGCTTCCTTGGTAGATGGATGGAACTGTTCATTTTGAAGATTTGGACAATGATCATCCAACATCTTTCTCCCTTTGTAGTCATTTGATAGGAAATTGTATGGGAATCTTTGGTGCTTACAATATATTTCTTCTGATTATCGAGCAATTTGAATCTATAATGCTATTTTAATGGTTGAAATTATTTATTTCTTGTTTTCAATATCTTCTTATATGCATGCTCTTCCATAAATATCTCTTCTGGTTATCATATTGCCTGTTTGTACAATATCATTATTCTTTATTCAGCATTTAATGGAATTATTATTGGATTTGATCTTTTTCCACCGGTAGATCAACTTGGATGAATTTACTGATCTTTGCAATGCCATTGCTCTAAGATTCCAAAAGGAGGATACTGTAAGTCCAATTTGCTATTTAACCTTCTCAAAATGGGTTCCATTATAACTGACTAAGTATTTATGACTGATCTATATGTGTTGTGCAGTCATCTTTATTTGATAGGTTTCAATTCTACAAGTCACCTTTCTCTGAAAATTTGAAAGCCTTCATTCGGAGCCCCAAATTTGGATACATAGTATCCTTTGTTCTCATACTGAATCTATTTGCAGTTATTATTGAGACGACGGTATGCCTTTTAACAAATTCATTTAGATGAACATATAAGAGTTAATTTGCTTTAAACACCAAGGTTCTTTACTAATTTCCTTGTTTGTGCTACTGTTTTATGATTTAACAAAAACAACTATGCTTGCATTTGTCTGCTGATATTGTCAGTTGTAGACTACATTCCTTCAAAGCACTTACACTTTGGAGTAAAATTAATTTGTTTCAAACTTAAGAGTTTGGAAACTTGTTAGGACTTTGCTTCTGGTTTGTAGTGAGTGGTGGCTTCTAGCCTTTTCTCATGCTCACAATTACGGAGCACCCATGAATTTGTTTTGAAGCATGTAATGAGAAAGGGTAAACTGAAAAAGGCATTCCATTGATTATTCCATTTCTCAAGGAGGCATGTCGTGCACTTAAAGCAATAGGAAACTACTTGGTTTACTAGATATGCATTTAAATTACATGTAATTTCCCTGATATGTATTTTCTAGTTTGTAGACTGAGGAAAAAGATGTTGATTCAATTTCTTGAATGATGTTAATGCATCAAATTCACTGGCTCCCTAATGAAATGAAATAAGAATGATCACAAAAGCCCTACATCCATTGCTTTATTACTACCATCTAGAACCCTGCCATGTGATTCCGAACTCTGACATGGACTCATGGTTCCCACTTCCCACCTACATCTAATATGGAACTAAAAATAAATAAGGGCTAATATATAAAATGCCCATATACTATATATCTTCTGACACTTTGGTACTTAAAGAAATAAAATTTTTACTTTGGTACTCGAACTTTCATTCCATCAAACACTCTAGTGCTTCACACTGTTACCATCAGTTAACTGGTTGACGTGACATGAATAATCAATAAAATCATGTCACGTGTCATAAATGTCTAGTCATCGCCATGTTAGCTATTACCACGTCATCAAAAAATTTATTTATTTTCTTCTTTTTTTTTTTAATTTTGAATTAAAAAATATTTTTTTAAAAATTTTTGAATTTTTGAATTTAAATGCTGACATGGAAAATAGATGATATGACGATGACTTGATATTTATGCCACGTTTCATGATTTTATTGAGTATTAATGCCACGTAAGTGAGTTGACTAACGGGGTTAGAATAGAGTACCGAAGTGCTTGATGGAATGAAAGTTTGGGTACTAAAGTGAGAATTTTATTTCTTTAGGTACTAAACTGACAGAAAATGTATAGTACATTGCCATTTTGTATTCAACGCAATAAACAAATAAGGTAGCTTGAAATCGAATTAGAGGCTTTTGAAGCTTATGCCATAGTCTGATACCTATGGAGGGGCAAGAAAGCGGCACTGCTGATGCTCTGAGAAACAAGAGAGAGAAAAACGCTTCTGCATTCAAGTTTACTACTACGTGCATTGTTTTGGCTAATCCTTTTTCTTTTTCTATCTTAACAGTGGTTGTTCAGGCAGTAGTGTGGTTATATAAAGGCTAGGTCCCTAGAGTACCATCCCATTATTGGCTTATAGATCAACACAAGACCTTCCTGATCTGCTTTTATGATTTCTTTTTCTTGCTTTGGATGGATTGCTAAGTGGAGTGAAATTTTTCTTGATTTTTCTTTCAGATTATTTGATTTGTAGGATACATATTTCCAAATTTTAAATAATGACTTGTGGTCTTGGACTAATTTATGTGATATAAATTGGCCTGCAGCTTGATATTGAAAACAACTCTGCTCAGAAGGTGTGGCAGGAGGTTGAGTTTGTTTTTGGTAAGTACTTGCTAATGCATGCACCTTTTTTTTAAACTTGGTAATTAACTCCCTATTTTAACTTACTCAAAATTTTAACTTCATAAATTTGGATTATTCATTTAATGCTTGTTATTTTTTTTATGTATGCAACATGGTATAACATGTTATGCTAAGTTTCTCATGGTGGTTCATGAGTTGTTTATCATCTGACAGGGTGGATATATGTACTGGAAATGGCACTGAAAGTTTATTCATTTGGATTTGAAAATTATTGGAGGGATGGGCAGAATCGCTTTGATTTTCTAATCACATGGATAATAGGTAATTACTCAAGTTAAATCCTTGGTATTTTACCTTAAATCTTCTAAAGTTAAAGCAACCAATTTTACTTTCATATTTGAAATTTTAACAATAATCAACCAGCTCTCTGAAAGTGCTTTTAGAAAGACGATTTCAGGAATTATTTGTGTGAATCATGTTCAAATATTGGAAAATCACCTTAATGTAATTACTGATTAAACCAAAAGTGGAAACTTTTCTACTGCTAATACTTTTAGAAATTATAAACAGAGTCAATCAAACAAATGCTTTTCCTAAGTGACTGACAATATATTTCTGGAAGAGGGCATGATTTAGTAAGCAACTTTTATTGATGTTATTCCAATTTTGTAAATATTGAATGCTCTAAAAATCATTTTGGTAACCTGTCCAAAATTGGAAGTTTGAAATGATTTTCATTATTTAAAACATGAAAGAATATGATTCTGCATTATGTGTTTCTCCACTGACTTGAACTCCTGTATAAAATTGCAAATAAGTAGATTTCAAGTTGGGGAATAACTATAATGTCAAAAGTGCAATGAGGCACTGCACAACTTTTAGGTTTTTCAGGATTTTGTATTAAAAATTTTCTTTCAATGTTGCTGTAAATAATATGTTGTTCTTTCTAATTTATTTTGCACTTAGAGATAGGGATGGCAACAGGTCGGGGTGGGGCGGGTTTTTGCTCGTCCCGAATCGACCCGATTTTTTAATGCCCGAACCCTACCCGATATTGTATAAACCGTACCCGCATCTAACCTGACCCGAAATTAATAAAATATTATTTTTAAAATATAAATATTTAAATATATAATTATATAAATATATAAATATATAAATAAAAAATTAATTTAAAAATTATTTTTATATAATATCCGGTCGGGTCGAGTTTGTCTAAAACCCAAACCTGACCCAACCTTTCCTTAGCATTATCCGACCCGACCTGAAACCCGATTTTCAAAAAAAAAAAAAAAGACCCTATAGGGTCGGGTCGGTTTGGAACTCACCGGGGGCGGGTTGGGTTGCCCACCCTACTTAGAGATATAGAGATATGGCATGTGGCTCTTCTGTAAGTTTACATTCGCAATATTTGTTCATTCAACTTGAAAAAAAAATCTTTTATTTCTGCACTGGGTTAATATCATCTGTATCTTTATCCTGAGTTTTACGTACCAAAGAAAATGCTTCATTTGTTAATAGGCTGCTGAATTTAATTTTATTGCTGAAAAACAAATTTGTGTTTGCAGTTATAGGGGAAACTATAACTTTTGCATCTCCTGATGGACTTGATTTTTTTTCAAATGGAGAATGGTAATGACAACTTAATATTTCCAATTTTATAATATGGATCATTTTTAAGTTCTGCTCACAGGGCTGCTCATTTAACTTTAAATATATTCTCTCAACTTATTTTATAAATGGATTCAAGTGAATGTTTTTTATATTTGGATGTCCTTTTCCTCCTTTACTATTCGCTTATACATATCCCCATTTGCTTCCCATTCTTTTCAACAGGATTCGCTACCTCCTTCTTGCCAGAATGCTAAGATTGATAAGGCTCCTGATGCATGTCCGAAGTTACCGAGCCTTTGTTGCCACATTCTTAACCCTCATACCAAGTTTAATGCCATATCTTGGGACCATATTTTGTGTCCTATGCATCTATTGCTCACTTGGTGTACAGGTACTTTGGATATGTAAATTGTCTTAATCTGCCTGCCCACTGGGATTTTTCACATGCAACATTCTGTTAAAGTTGCCTCCATTTATCAAGCAATCTGGAGTTGCCATGACTTTTTATCCTTAAGAAAATGGTTTCAATTGCCTAGAACTCAAGATTTGATAGTGGATTATTACAGACTAATCATTGTTCTGTTTATGTTACTAGATCTTTGGTGGGATTGTCAATGCTGGGAATTCTAATCTAGAAGGGACAGATCTCACTGATGATGAGTATCCTTTTTTGTCATTTGTGTGAACTCTTCTTATATGCTTTTAGTAATTTCATTCAAATTTGTAATTGGTCTTTCAATGGCTACATGTCTCAAAGAAAAATCATGACTATTTACAGGATTTTAACTTTTTGCATTTTGGTTTTAGAGGTGTGTTAAGTTATTAAATGCAATTGCAAGTTTCAAACAATGTATTAACATTCATTGACTTTCCTTGACAAAATCAGCTATTTGCTTTTCAACTTTAATGATTATCCAAATGGAATGGTGACACTTTTTAACTTGCTAGTTATGGGAAATTGGCAAGTGTGGATGCAGGTATTGCCTTTGTGTCTGGACTTTCTTCATTTTGTTGTTTCCTTACACACTTCTACTGTGTAGGACTTGTAGAGGTACAACCTAGTTATTTATTCACCTCGACATATGTTTCAATGTTGGATTAGGATAGAAGCACTCTCTTTTTTAGATATATTTCTTACCGCTGATTGTGGCCTCTATTCTAACTAGCTTGCAGCAGAAGAACATATTTTCTAAATTAGGGCTGGTTTAAAACTTATTGGAACTTATCCTATTGAAATAATAGCAATTTTAGAACCTGATCTTGGTGCAAAATTTACAGTTTTTGTGTCTCAATAGTTAACCCACGTCATCTCTATGGAACTCTTTAAGTATCTAACATGTATTTGAAACAGGTGCACCTTCTTTTATAATTCAAAATATCAGCTATAATTTAGGAAACTGTTTGATTAATAAGCTATGTTTGTTCACTCAAAATGAGGAGCAGATTGAATATGTGTGGTCCATGCCAATGTTCTTTTATTGTCCACGCAACAAAAGTATTTTGCACCCATTCTTACATCAAAAATGTTTTATATGCAGTTTTGCACTTACAAAAGAAAGTCTAATTCTAATAAATAGAAACAATTGTATAGAAAACCATATAATAAATGCTCCACTCATATTTAGTAAGTATACCTGAGCAAAATTGTGATTCAGCATTATTTTTTTATTTTTTATTTTTTTGTGCCAGGGAGGGGTATGCCTTATGAGCGATAAATGTCTAGACTTGTGGATATTGTTGCATCTGACATCAATACTCCTTGCTCAGCAAGTATTCTTTAAATTCTATGTAGTATATTTCAAATATTTGCATCCAACAGTAACATTAAGGATGGAAGTATTTCTTGGTCAAAAGTAAAAACAGATTTTACCTTAGTCATGTATAGCATTCTTTTGTACAAGTTCTATTCTTAGAATTTTGCTTGCTCCTGTGTGCTCTTTTCTTTTCTTTCCTCTTGCTTTACTCTAATGATATACCCATTCTTGGAGGTGTTGATTTTCTTTCTCTAAATTGCTGTTACAGAGCTACAAAGAATTGACTGGAACTTCTTGGACCCTTGTATATTTTATCAGCTTCTACCTAGTTACTGTTTTGTTACTTTTGAATTTGGTAAGTCTCAGAATATTTAATCTTCATGCTACCTTTCATACATTGCAGACACATTTACTTTCATATAAGTGAATGCCTTCTACATCTATCACTAAGCTGTCTTTCAGCATGTTTCTTCACATGTATGTTTATATTGTGTATATTTGTGTGTATTGATATATACAAAAGTAATTGGGTGCTTCTCACTCATATAGGGTTTGTCTGTATTTGCAGTTTAATTTTTGGTTCTTGCATTTTCTGATTTGACAGTTTTAAAAGTGCTTCCACATCAAAGGGTAGTAGGAAGGACAAAGAAGGAAGAGGGGAGAGGGAGCAAGTTGATTGACCCAATGTCTTTTAGTTCCACAAGTTAAATAAAACACCCTTAAATCTAGTTTCTATTTAATTAATTTATTTAAGTATACCTAACAAGGGGAATATAAGTAAGAAATAATTTTAAATATAAGAGTTTGTTCATTAATCATCATAGTCTACTTATATTTCTCTTAATAATGGATATTATACCAAGTTTTTGTATGAAAACCTGGAAATATGTCTGGTTGCTTGATGATCATTCATCATACACAAATTTCATTTTGTATTTCAAGGATCTTTTTTAGTACTTGAGGTTGCCAGGGATCGTACCTTGGTCACTAGAATTAAGAGTCTAACACTCTACTAATAGACCACATGGATGTTGGCAAGGATCTTTTACTTGAGATTTAGTTGAGATTTGCTGCTATGCTTGCTTCCCTGTTCTCTTAATTATGCTTCTGCAATTCATATTTCTTGGTATTTTCAAGACATTCATAAAAGAAAGAACCTTATAGTTATTTACAATGGGAATTCAGGTTGTAGCTTTTGTCTTGGAGGCATTCTTTGCTGAAATGGATCTTGAGGAGTCAGGGAATTGTGAAGAAGATGACAAGGTTTGTACATTTTATAAACTCATTACTAAATCAATAATTCCACTTTTATTGCAAAAGTTGGAGTTACTTTTCAGGTTGGGATTGTCCACTCCCAGTGACTGGCTTTTATAAAAGCTCTCTTATTGATAAGAGTACTTGACTTATTTCTCCACTATTATATCTGATGGAGCAAGATCTTTAGAATGGTGATTTTGATACTCATGTAAAAAAATAATTCGGGGCAGTATCCTTCTGCTCAGTTGTTTATAACTTCGATTGTTACTCTGTTTTTTAAATTGGCTTTGCCAATTTCAAAATAAGCTTTGAAGTTTTGCATGAGCTGCCACTACTGCATGATTACCTCTGTAGGAAACAATTTCATTTTGTATTACACTAGTCTTCTTCAGCATCACAAGGTTTGAGGTTAACATGAGTGTCTACTTAACAGAGGCTTTTTGGGACAAATTGATCTATTCTGAAGAGTTAAATCTCACTTTTAAATAACAATATATGCCCATCGCCCCCATAGCCCATTGTTGTCCTTCATTACCATGGCAGTTATCCAACATATTAGATCTCTCACTAGTTAATGTATCCATCTAAATAACAGAAATATGATTATTATTGTTTACATTCCCAGGATGCTGGATCAGGAAAATATCGAAGGAGGCTTGTTGGGTTTGTATTTGCTGTCTCAATATTTCTACACATTATCGGTTACAGACATTCCAGTTGTTTGGTGTTAACCATATGTTGCATTTTTTATTTACTTTTATCCTGGTCTGATACAGCACAAAGACTCGTAGTCAAAGAGTTGATGTTCTTCTACATCACATGTTGAGTGCGGAGCTGGATAAAAGCCAATCCTCAGCCTCTGCTGGTCCCTAGCTTCATTTCATTTCTTCTTCTGGTAAGCGATTTCTTTTAAACAATAAACCCTTTGTTAAATACCCCGTATTCATTTCGGCCTTGTTAAATTTATAGGTGCACGACATGTTTGAAGTGTTCAACTTGGTGTGTAATGTGTCAATGTACGGCCACGTCGAAAACCATTTTCTCTTCTAAAATGTTCCCATATTTAGATTTCCGATTCGTCTTGTATGTGGTTTGGAGTCCTTGTTATATATTTGTCCCATATAGGATTCATACAATTGTACTGGCTTAGTGAGCAAAAAAGAGAATGATGATGATAGATTGATAGCGGGGTTGTGTCTTAACCTGAGTTGCTCATAGAGTCATAGTGGTCATATGGTTGACAATGTAAAAGGTTCAATGCCTTTGTTTCAATTTAGAAGACCCTACTGTAACATTTGAATTGAAATTCGTTCCTTCTGTTGCTTTCGATTATCATCCCCATATTTGAAACCATTTGAAAAAAAAAAAATATTGCTGCAATGCTACTTGCTAACTAGAATTGATAATTTGTTTATTTGTATCGTATTTATATGTTATGTTAAACACATGTAAAATATTAAAAATTATCATGTAAAATTTATGTCCACATATTAAATATAAAACACAGTTTTTAGTCTGTCATATTTATATATAATTTTTGTTAAATTTTAAATTGTATTGCTTTGATATTATTTTTGTGTTATATCATTATATTATATTTAAAATTATTAGATTTATTACTAACTTTTTTAATTGATTTAACTAGTAAATGTTAATTCGTCAACAAAATATATTATTATTATTATTATTATTATTATTATAGCTGAAAATGTACTACAATTAGGCATGTATAAGAATTTGGTTGTAACAATAAGGGCTGCTTGCTTCCATTAGAGGTAATAATAATTTAGATCGAATTTGATTTGATTTTTTTGAATATTATATAATATTATAAAATTTTAAAATTTGATCCAAATTTAAGTCGAACTTTCATTTAATTTGAATTGAATCAAATCAAATTTTATTAAATCAATTCAATTTGATTTATTAGTTTTTAATTTTTAATTTTTTTAAATTTTTGATATTATTTTAAGATAAAACTTTAATATATTTAAATAAATTTTGATATAAAAATATTATTTTATTTTATAAAAATTTAAAATATATATAAAAATTAAGAAAAATTTATAATTTAATTTAGTTCGATTTTTTTTTTCACATTTTGATCCAAAATTTAATATATATTTAATGTTTGAATTTAATCCGAATTAAAAAAAAAAAATCAATTTGAATTGAATCAAAAATTACAATTAGGAATTGATTATCAATTTTCTCGATACATTTTTTTTCACCCCTAACTTCCATTTTTCATTTGTTGATAGGAAATAAGAAAATCCTGAAGAATGAAAGGCAAAAAATACACAATGAAGGAATTGAAGGAGCAGTGCTTATTCCTTCTCCATTTTATGGTGTTACAAAATTGCAGTGCCTATTCCATCTATTTTTTACTTCTTTCCGGAGTCCACTATTATTACTGAACGCCAATGGAATAATTATTTAGTTTTAAATTGATGGAGATGGGGACTGTCACTGGCATGAACGTATTCTACACGGTTTGGTTTCTGTCCTTCTTCACTTGTATTAAGGAAATAAAAGAACTGAAGTGGGAATGGCCACTTACAGTTGGGTTCACTAAGGCTGAATTTTGATTGTAACCACTTCTATTTCGGTGTGATTGGCTACTTTACACTTAAGTAATCCATTTGGAATGTAGCTGTGTGATACAGCGGAGCCATTCTCATCATGTCACATCCTAATTTTTTCATTAGAGAAGGAAAGGTCCAATATAGCATTGGATTTTTATTTTTTAATCCATTTTTTTAATGCTAAAAATGCATTATGATTAAAAATAAATCTTAAAGGTATTCGACTATCTTTCGCTTTTTTAAGGGTTAAATACAAAAGTAATTTTAAATTTTAAATTTTTTGTCACATTGATACATAAAACTTTAAAATTATCACATTGATAAATAAATTTTAATTTCAAAATTTATTTTACTCGAAAGCTTAACTACGTTAAAAAAAGTTGATATATTGTAAATGGTCAATTAAAGGTCAATTGTCACTAAAATTTCACATTATATAATGAAATTTTCACATCAAATATTAATTTCAAACCAAAAAAACAAAACTTTTTTTGTTTTATTTTTTTATCAACAAAAGACAACACTTTTGAGAAGCTTGATATGTTGCTCTAAGAAGAAAAAGAAATAGTCAACAAAAACAAAAAGGGATTATAGTGTATGTCTTTTTAATCAATCCAAAAAGTGAGATTATAGTGCACCATTTAAGGTTTGAAATCATTGGACTTCTTCTAAGTCATTGCTTCAATCTTTCTTATTCTTTCTTTGCATCCTTTTTAATTAGTAGATAGTAGATCCACCTCAAATTCAAAATCAACAAATCATTCAAGAAAACCTTTTTGTCATTGTGGATTAAGGGCTCATATTTGTACCTCCACCACTCCATAGTATAAAGGGAAGAAATTTTATGGTTATCCAAAATATAAAGAGGTATGTAACAATATTGAATACTGAATTGGGTTTTAAGTTTAGGTTGAATAATAAAATTGGGAATTTAATTGAATTTTAATTTAGGATAAACTTAGAAAATTGACTACTAAATTTTATTTTTATTTCAATTTTTTAGTCTTAATTATTAACTCAATCAATATTTGTTGAACAAATGGGTACTAATTTATATGAAACTTTAGCTTTTGAGTTTAGGTTGAATAACAAAATTGAAAATTGATTCAAGGTTAAATTAGAAAGTTTGGTATTGTATTATTGTTTGATTTCAATTTATTAATGTTAGTTATTAATCCATGAGCTATAATATTGCATTTGTTGAAACAATAGGTATTGATTTCGTTAATAATATAGGGTTATATTGAATTATGCTAAGTAATTTTTTGTTTTATGCTTGACCATAATTAGGGACTTAATTTTGGCTATTGTTTTTTCATACTTATCTCTCTAATGTAAATCGATGGATGTGGATTTTTTCATTAGATTGAAAAGAATAATGATGAGCATCTTCTTGAGGTTCACTTGAGAAATGTGAATGAAGAATTAATTAATTAACATAATCTTTTATTGACAAAAAATAGAAAGTTAAAATTGAGTATATACAATTAAAGAAATCCTTTAACATTGATGAATTGAATAGCATATTAAATAAAGTTAAAAATAATAATAAAAAAAAGATGAAAACATGCAAAGGAATGTTGGTAAATAATAAAAATGATGCATGTTTATACAAGATAGTCATGTTGGTTTCATGAATCATGTTTTTAGTATATATTTTAGGCAATAAGTAGATGTTTATGTATTATTTGATTATTTGACAACATTGATTTAAAGATATTATTATGTAGGTTAAGTTATTTTTAAGCTTAATTAAAACAATGTTAATTTCTAAGCGAAGAAGTAATATAATGCCTTTGTATTACATATTGATTTTAGATCAATTACTTAAATGGTTGCTTATGTAATGTTAAATTGTATGTTAAAGCAATTTGAAATAAGCATAAAAATTCTTTGTTAAATTATAGGATATGAAAACTTATACAAGCTCTTATTGAAGGTATATATGCTTATTAAGATATAAAAATTTGTTAAATAGTTATGGAATCTCTTAATTAATTTTGCAAAGAAAAACTTATGTTTATCTTAGTTTAGATGAAGAGTGCCTGCAATGAATTGATAAAAGGCTTATTGATAAAAATTAATCTTTTATACCTAACTAGGCTTATTGATAAAAGGTATATATATATATATATATATTGTAATGATTGGATAGATGATGAATTAAAAAGTACTAAATATATATATATATATATTGTAAGCATTGAACATGAGTTATCATATTGATAAATCCATATATAATGTCAAAATGGTAACAACAAAAGTTATCATATTAATAAAAGGCATATATACTATTTAATTGTTGATTACATCAAAAATGGCTAGAAAAACTATCATATTCTTGATTATATCCAAAATGTCAATGAAAAGCTATCATCATCTTGATTATATCCAATGTTAAAAAGAAACAAAAGTTAATTAGATTATGTATCAAAATGTAACAATCATAAAGTTGATCACAGTCACATTATAACAATAAAATGAATTTAGTTATGACAAAAAGTTATCAATTTTCCAACTGCATTGTGTTAGGGATTCGAGGCCTCAAAATCTTAGGTTATTTGACTTGTTCTTTATGTTAGTTTTAGATTATTTTTTGCTTCTACAACTACTTTCTTGAGTGACCAATATGCATCAATATCCAATCTTTTCATTTTTCTTCCCAATAAATCAACTTTCAGATTCTATTAATGCAAAGTTTATTATACATTTAAATGTTTATATAGTAGATTTAAGGTAAGTAAAATAGTATGATGTCCACAAACAATTACATACCTTATAAAACCTAATACGTTCATAGTCATCTTTTTTCATGATTAAGTTTGCAATTTTTTGTTCATGACTAATAGTGACGAGGCTGATTGCTTTATTGGTTTATAGTCAATCTTAGTAATGCTAATCAACATTTGACCTTAAACTAGGTTGTAAATTCATTATGTAATCAATTCAAGATTTTATAAATATTGATAAAATTAAAAATAAATTGATAACATGTAAATCACTTACATTTAATATTTGCAATCGAACTTCTCATTAGTATAAATTTTCAATCCATATATTTTTGTCTTCCCCATTGTTCCAATGTACCAACATTAGCAATAAATTTTCTTTAAGATCTTGTGCTTTTTGTTTTATTGTTGTTGTTGGTTGTTTAGAACGTTGTGCTTCTTTAGAGAATGCTATTTTATAAGGGTTGGTGTTTTTACAATTGCTGGTGCTTTTACATAGACTATTATTTCTATAAGTGTTAGTTTTCTACCTTTTAAATCCTTTAAATCTCTATTTCTAGATCTTCTTGATGAAGTTGTAGAGTCTATAGTAGCTATTATTTCTATAGGTGCTAGTGCTTGTACAAGAGCTGCGGCTTTTACAGGAGTTGTTTCAATTGGGGTTTACATAGGGGTTAGGGTTTAAGATATTGATATTGGTAGTTTTCTACCATTTGAATTCTTTAAACCTCTACCCGTTAATCCTTTTGATGTACTTGTACAATCTTGGTTAGAACTCATATGAAAAAAAAAAGATAATAATGTTATCTTCCTCAATATCAAGGTAAAAAAATACTTGTTTAATTTAGAAATATAAGTTAGATACACTTTTTACCTGAAATCTAAATTCAAAATCAGCAGCAACTTTTTCTTGAAAACCTTGTGCAGATCCAATATTTATAGGGGATGAAGCTTTAGGAGGTGGTTGTTGAATAGATCCGCGAAAATGAGAAACTTGATTAGAATTCATCTAA